TCTTTGTTTTGTTGACTGTTTCCTTTGCTGTGCAGAAGCTTTTTATCATTAGCCATCAGGAAAATTCAAATCAAAACCACATCAAGATACCACCTTACACCAGTTAGAATGGCAAAAATTGACAAGGCAAGAAACATCAAATGTTGGAGAGGTTGTGGAGAAAGGGGAACCCTCTTACACTGTTGATGGGAATGCGAGTTGGTACAGCCACTTCGGAAAACAGTGTGGAGGTGCCTCCAAAAAATTAAAAAATAGAGCTACCCTATGACCCAGCATTTGCACTACTGGGTATTTACTCCAAAGACACAGATGTAGTGAAAAGAAGGGCCATATGCACCCCAATGTTCACAGCAGCAATGTCTGCAATAGCCAAGCTGTGGAAGGAGCCGAGATGCCCTTCAACAGACGAATGGATAAAGAAGATGTGGTCCATATATACAATGGAATATTACTCAGCCATCAGAAAGGATGAATACCCAACTTTTACATCAACGTGGATGGGACTGGAGGAGATTATGCTAAGTGAAATAAGTCAAGCCGAGAAAGTCAATTATCATATGGTGTCACTTATTTGTGGCACATAAGGAAGAGCATGGAGGACATTAGGAGAAGGAAGGGAAACATGAAGGGGGGAAATCGGAGGGGGAGACGAACCATGCGAGACTATGGACTCTGAGAAACAAACTGAGGGTTAACAGGGGAGGGGGGTGAGGGGATGGGTTAGCCCGGTGATGGGTATTAAGGAGGGCACGTATTGCATGGAGCACTGGGTGTTATAAGAAAACAATGAATCGTGGATCACTACATCAAAAACTAATGACGTATTGTATGGTGACTAACATAACATAATAAAATTAAAAAAAAAAAAGAAAAGGTTATTTAATGGAGAAAAATACTTCATTCCCAAACGAGGCCATGATATAAATTTTGCAATTAGGCATTACTTTTGAATTGTACAATGGTATTTTATATAAATCAGAACTCGTATAATTTTTATAATATAAAATTATTTTATATTATGTAAAAGTAATTTATTTATATATTATATATAATATATAATTGTATAAAATTGTATATTTTATAAAATAGAAATAATTTATGTTTTATATAAGATTTATGTAATTATCAGAATTATGTAAAGTTTCATAATGTGCATTTTATAAAATTATGCAATAATTATTCAGCTGAGTGCTTTATACTTATATAATTCATTTTTAGTGATACATTTTCATAAACCTGACTTTCCAGTTTCCCAGGGTGCCACTTGTGCCTAGAGGACTTAATTGGTATTCTTTTGAAATAAGCATCTTTGTTTATTATTCGCACTGGGAAATTTATTATGCAAATTTCTTATAGGAATTGTTGAGGAGTACCAGTTGCCTTATTATGACATGGTGCCTTCAGATCCCTCAATAGAGGAAATGAGGAAGGTTGTTTGTGACCAGAAGTTTCGACCAAGTATCCCAAACCAGTGGCAGAGCTGTGAAGTAAGTATGTTCCTTTTTGGCCGGGGATGGGGGTGGGGGGCAGGGAGCAGGGGCTGGGTAAAGGGGCAGAGGGAGAGTGACAGAGAGAATCTCAAGCAGGCTCCATGCCCAGCATGGAGCCCAATGTGGGGCTCGATCTCTCGACCCTGAGATCACAACCTGAGCCAAAATCAAGAGTCAGACACTTAACAGACTGAGCCACCCAGGCGCCCAAGGCTATGTTCTTATATATGTTTTATCTATTATAATTTTGAGGTAAGTATCAGGAAGATTTTCAGAGACCATATAGTTCTTCTCTCTTAATCTAGACACATATGCCACATATGTAAGTATATGTCCTTGTATCAGTCTTCAGAAAGATTTTATTCCCTTTAGCCATATGTATACAGAATGCCAAGATAAGTGGCAGTAACAAGCCCTGGTACCCCCAGTGACTTTACGCAACAAGACTATTTCTTGCTATGTAAAGTCCCCTACAGGCCAGGCAGCTATGCTCTCTGTGGTGATTCTGTGATCCAGGTAACTTTGATTTCAGGATGCTGTTATCTCAACACATAGTTTCCAAGTGTCTAGGTCAGGAATAGAGAGGAGCTGGAGGGTCACACATGGCTCTTTAATGCTTTGGCTTCAGGTGACTCACATCGCGTCTACTCATGATTCATAGAGCAGAGTCAGTCACACAGTCTCATCTGCTTGAAGGGGGGCTGGTAACTGTAGGAGCGCAGACATGTTTGATCGTCAATGTCCATGCCAGACAGAGTATTACAATTCAGTCATCTTTATAGTCAGTAAATTTGCCGAAGTTTGAGCTTATATAAGTCAGAAAAGCTTCCTCATGGCAGAGACCACTGTTTTCTCCTCATCTCCGATAATGCATATGCTAAGCATCATGTCAAAGGCATTCAGTGTGGTTATCGCAGTGCTTGTTCTGCCTTGCACAAAACTAGAGCCTTTTCTAGTTCCCACAGGGAGAAGGAAGGGAATAGGAGGGAAAGAGTACAAACCCTCTAATTCCACAACTATTTTACTGCTTTAATATCCACCAACCCCATTATTCCTATTATAGGAATAATGAATAAAGAATATCCACCAACCCCATTATTCCTATTATAGTCTACCATATTTAATTGTAATACTTGAGGTCTTTTTAAAGTGACTTTTTTTAGTTTGGCTTTGCCAGAAGGGTTATTTTATACAGCAGTCTTTTCCCCTAATTTCCCTCCTCCTGCATGTTTCACTCATTTCTTTTTCTATTTAAGGAAGGAATTAGGTCTCGATATTTCTATTTTGTATAGATATCTTACCTACATAGTTATTTTAGAAGCAGAATTTGAGCCATTTACAAGCAAATTGAAATTAAATTCTTCCTAATGTTAATAATTTTGTGTATATGAAAGAATATGTAACATATATGTAAAGTTTAAAGTATAATAATGAAGTGAAAATCAGTGAATTCGCTACTAATTTTAAAAAATAGAACAAAGATCCCTTACTCCTCTGAGAGATTACTATGATGATTATTTATTATTACTTCACTTTTATTTAGGAGAAAATATATATATATTTAGGTATAATTATATGTATATGTATACTCACACTAAAAATATATTGCTTACTTTTCTGTAATTATGAAACATATTATTGAAACTTACTGTAGATATTCTTCTTAATTTCTTTTCACTTTAATTTATAGATGTAGCTATAATCTGTTCATTCTCATATCAGTGCAGTAATCCATTATATGGCTAGAGTACAATTTTTCTTCTATTGTTGATTGTCCGGTGTGATTTTAACATTTTTAAACAATGCTGCTATATATATGCATGTGGGGGGGGGGAAATGTCTTCGAGTATAAAACTGTAGAATCTTTTGGGATGTCTGCATAGATGATTATATCTCCAAATAATGAGAGTTCTGGGACCAATCCTCAAGCCTTTTCTTTACTTCTTACTTTAGTTTCCAGGACTTCCAGTATAGTGTTGCTTGAAAGTTGATAGTGGACATCTGTGTTTTACTTCATAAAATTTTGTATATTTCTCCTTTCAGTATGATACTTGCTGTAGGTTTTGTTGTCAAAACTTTAATCAGGTTACACAAAAACTGAATTTGTTTTGATAAAAGCTTTCTTCCTACCTATGAGGTGAAGATACGGCCTCTCTACTTTCTCGTCTCATAATGTGATAAATTGCATTTATAAATTTTCCACTGTTAAACCAATCATACATTCCTAGAATAGACCTAAGTAGTCATTTTTTATGTGATCAATTTTTTACATTGCTGATATAAACAATTTTTGTTCATTTTCGTCCAGTATTTAATTCTATTTTGTTTTGTATTAACCCCATGTATTAGATACTGGTGCAATGTTATACCATTATTATTTGTTTAAACTTAAGAACATGTTTATCATTTTCTTTGTTCAACATTCTTTTTTGCTTCTCAAAGCTTCCTTCTAAGGTCATTTTCTGATTTCCTGTTGTGCATTTCTTAAATGTATTTTATTTAAATTGTTTTTTTAGAAGGACCTAGAAGTGATGAGTAGTGATGTTGAGCATCTTTTCATGTGTCATTCTAGGTCATTAATTCTTCTAGGTCATTAATTCTAACATCTAATGTTTTGATGGGTTTGATTTTACCATTTGTTGTTTCATTTGATTCTTGCTTATGATACTTTATTTTCTCCTGTCTTGTGAATTTTTGTTTTGAGCTTAGGTTTACTATGACATTTTAAGGCCTGGGCTTGATTTTTTCCTTACCAAGAGTCAAGATTTAGATAATTTTCTTTACAAAATTCCTTGTAAGACTGATTCATCCCTATAGTCAGGACTTTGGAAACATCTTGACTTGATACCTTCTGGGTACTTTGGCTGCATTTTCTATCTTTTACATGTGGTTCATCAATTCTGAAGTTCTAGACTATGAGATCAGCTGATGTCACCAGAGTGGCCACTTGCTTCAGTGATTTCTTATATCTCTCTGGATTCATGCATTCTCATTGTTTTCCCCTCTGAGTATTTATCTTATTTATTGAGCAGTTCATTTATACTGTTTTTTTTAATTCAGAAGTTTTGATATTTACACCTAGATCATTATTTTATTATGGCATAATTTAAATGTTAAAATGCACAAATCTCAATATACAGCTTGATGAATAACAAAAAAAGTATGCGCATATGTACTTACCATCCAGATCAAGCAATTCACAACTCATCCCATATCCCTTTTTTCTTTCATGTCCCTTCTCAGAAGATTTTAAAAGATAGCTCCTCTACCATATTCCCAGAAATCAGTGGATTGAATTTTCAATTAAAAGTTAGTCTCCATAAGGTTAGTGTGTGTGTGTGTGTGTGTATGTGTGTGTGTGTTGACTGGATTTTTAAAGAGGTTTGGTCCTGATCTTCCGATACCATTTTAAGTTTACTGTTTCTTCACTAGAACTTAGCATCAATTCCTGGGTTTGTGGTTAGGCTTCTCTCGGACTATGTTTGTGTGACTAGCTAAAGCGTTTAATATTTTTCTCTCTTAAAGGCACTCCGAGTCATGGGGAGAATAATGCGGGAGTGTTGGTATGCCAATGGGGCAGCCCGCTTAACGGCCCTTCGTATTAAGAAGACTATCTCTCAACTTTGTGTCAAAGAAGACTGCAAAGCCTAATGATGATAATTGTGTTAAAAAGAAATCTCTCACAGCTTTTTTTTTCTCATTTTCCCTCTTTATGTGAATGTTTTTACCTTTTTTTGGTTGTCGTTCTACCTCAAAGATAATGCAGTACAGTATTTAAGAGCTCAAATGCAGCATGGAAAAAATAACTCTGAAGTCAAGCATAGGCAGGAACTGACTTCATCCCATCTCTGTGTTGTCTTTAATTTTATTTTGAAAAGCACCACATCAATTCATCTTTTTATTTAATAAGAAAGATATTACAAAAATGTAAAATAAGCTACATAAAACTAATACAAGTCATTAAGGTTTTATTTTACTTGAATCAAGAGCACATGAATGAAGAAAAAGAAATGTAAAAGCATTTTTTTTCTGAGATGAAAACACCTTCATTAAAAAATGTGAACTAGAGCACGTTATATCTCAACAGAATTTTAGATTATATAATTTGCTGTTTTCTTTTTGTTTGTTTTTTTTTAATTAAGAAGGATCTTTGAAAAAGATACATATTGCCCTGAACTTTAGTGTCTGAAACACTTAAAAGGGGAACCTCTCAGCTGGAAGATGGAAGTGAGGTCCGAGTAGCCACTGACTTGGCCTCCCCTCTTCCTGCTGTCTTGTTCTTCATAATCCACCACCACAGCAACCCCTGAAGCAGTATGAAAGCCACTACCGTTGTTACTTCCTCTCATTTACAAAGGAAACATCCAACAGCTTGAAACATTGAGAAATCCCGCAAGTCACATACCTAGTGGTGGAGCTGGCTCTAGGTCCAAATCTTGTGATAACCCACACAATGTAAACTTAGCTAGTTTCCTACTTTCCCGTTAATTCCCATATAGCACTTTTCTTCCTATGCAGAAACAACAGCTTTCATGATGGTATTCGTGGTTTAGTCAGACAGAAGACCAATTGGGTCATTTTGTACAATCATAATGGACCTGCCTGAATTCTGAGGACAATATCCCTTGACATTTTCCTCATAGAAATTTCATAGTCTGCCTATTTGTTAGAGAAATATTAATGTTTTCTGAATACTTCCAGAGATTAATCAGGCATAAAGATCCATTGTTGGAAGGGGTCTTTAAGATTTATTTCAGAGGTCCCCACTACTTTTGTACATACACACTTAGAGGGAGGAGGAAGTAGAAGATATTTTGAGAAAAAATAAGAGAACTCTTCAGTAACTGTAAATAGCTATTTCCCTACCCTTTCAAAATGAGCCAGTAGATGCAAAAGAAGGCTCATGATACTTTTGCCTTTATTCTACTTCTCAAGATTCTGAATAATACATGGAACATTGAATCTTTCTTTCAAATCTGTAATTTTGTTTGGGTGAAGAGGATTTAACTTGGTATCTTTTGTTGTTCTAAAACACTGTTTCCTAAGCTCTATTCCTTAGAACATTCTTCTGGTGAGATGTTCCAAGACCGAAAGCATTCTTTGATAGATTCTTAGAAAGTGATAGTGCACATTAGCGTATCATGTGCTTTGAGGAATCTAGCAGTAAAGAAATGTTGAGTTTCTTTGAATTAGATTTCCCAAGTTATTTGACCAAGGAACCCTTTTATTAAGAGGAGGGGAAACCTTTTTACTATCCCACATTTCAGTGTTCTACAAAGCATAACTTGGGCAACAGTGTTTGAAAGGATATATCAATGTATTTTCATGCAGATCACAATGTAGTGACTGTAGTTCATTTTGCTATGGAAATACGTTACTGAACCCATCTTCATTTGACTGGGATGAGATATGGAAGGCAAATATCTGACAGCTGGGGTGCTCTTACCAATGCAGTCATCCATTCATTAAATAAGATAGAGGACCCCATATCTTCATTGCCACAATATTAGGGCCAATAGAGAAAAGATGGATAGGTTCTGCCCTCAGAGATTTTAAAGATTAATTTGGAAATGGGGACCAGGATGTAGGTGTCGGTTAGGGGGAAGGAAATAAATTGACAAAGTAGGGAGTCTTGAATTCCATATGACAGTGGGTTCTGGAAGTTACTTTCAATTTGCAAAACATTTAGAAGGTATCTTTATTAGGCTATTGCAGACAATCTAAATTATATAAGCAGTTTTTTAAAATGCATATGTGAAAGAATTTTAAAAAGAGCTTACGTGAAGGGGTGATCTTGCTTATGCTTGTTATCGTGACTTCTCGTGGATTGTTTTTGAAAATATGAGAATGAAATTATTTATTTACTGTGGTTGTACTATAGTTAAATGGCTGTTCAAATAAATAAGGATAATATTTCCTGTTTTATTCACTAATGTTGGGTGAATATACTTATTTAAGTTTTGAAAGAATGTTTTAACATCTCCATTTTCCTCGACACTATGTTTTATAATTTACTTGGGTGTGTCCAAATAGAACTCCATATTTTTATTGGTTCAACTTTTACTCTAGAGAAATCTGTACATTTTGAGATGTTTTTCTTGTTTTCGTCTTAGTTTACTGTAACTTCTGACTAGTCTTACATCTTACTTACCAAACACACGTCTTAAAAAAAGAGGTAGGTTAACAAAAATGATAAAAAGTTAAAAGTTCTAATTTTTCTTAACTCCAAACATGATTATAAATAGAAAATGCTCACAAGAACAGGGTAAAGTTTAGAGCATAAAACAAATTTATTGTATATACCTATACTGTTAAACTTCATATTATTTGTTTTTGATGGAGTATCATCGTGTAATATTTATTTCTTTTGAATTGTGTTGTAAGCAAAAAATATTCTTATGCTCAATGTGTCAGTGTTCTTTGCTCCTTTCAAATATTTTGACTTTGGGTATAATACAAAGCTTGGGAAATTGCTATTTATGAAATGTCAGTACTGTATAAAGTGGTGATGGGGTTTCTATGCAACATCACTTTTTAAAATAAGAGAAACATTATTTGTTGTCAATATTACAGCATGAACTTGTTGCCTTTAAGCTACACGTTCAAGTGTGTAATTGGTACGAATTCTGTTGTGTGCTTTCTTCTCTGTCTAAAATATTTGGCATGTCACATCTAGAATTCTTAATTTATGTTCTGACTTGAAAGTTAAGTGAAACATGACTGTGTCGTGCACTATTTTAAGCATAGCACTTGCTTTTCATCTTTATACTTTCAATTAACTTTGCATTTTAAATTTTCATGATTGTATGAAAATAGTAACCTGGTTGCAGTGTCTGAAGACTTCAAAATCAGCTTTTATTTTAAAATGAAGATCTACAATAGATTCATTAGGTTACAAGTTCCATAAGAATTTATCATTCTTAATACTTCTACTTTAGTAGCATTATTAAACAAAACTACTACTGTGCTGGAATTTTGCCACCATGTGACTTACTGGGGCAGAGAAAACTCAGGGCTGTCTTAGAGTTTACACAACAATACCAGGGAACCTACTGAGCAAATCATCTGAAAGCAGGGAGCCCACATTTGCTGTTTTATGAAGTTCAACTTAAAATTGCTTAGCAGGGAATACTTTCTGATTATTTATTTAAAATATATATGGAGTTTTTTTTTTTTTAAGATTTTATTTATGAGAGAGAGACAGAGAGCACGAGTGGAGGGGAGAGGCGGAGAAGGAGAAACAGACTCCCTGCTGAGCAGGGAGCTAAATGCAGGGCTGGATCCCAAGACCTTGAGATCATGACCTGGGCAGAAGGCAGATGCTTAACCATCTGAGCCACCCAGGCGCCCTGGAGACGTTTTTTTTTCAATAAGTTTATTTAAAGTATGGATATGGGATTTTATTTCCCATCAGGAAATTGAGAAAGTAACAGTAACGAGTGAGTCAAGTTGATGGCGGTTGATTTCTTCAATAAGCATCCCTTTAAGTAAATGTACAAATACAGCATTTTAGGTTACTTGGAAATATTTAAGAATTCACATCTTAAAATGATGTCAGTATGGTTTTCAAAGATATTCTAAATTCTTTTCTTTTGTGAAACCTGCTCCTACTGTGTTTGACACCTCTCTGTATTAGCTCCCTCCATGAGGTAATACCTAATGGGACTTGATGCACTATTTAGTGAAGACAGTCATCCCTTTGCTTCTGATGGCTTCTTTTATACAGAAGAAAATATGTTGGTTGGAATACAAAAGTTTTGTTAATAATGTTAATATTAAATAGAATTTCCATAGGCAGTTTTTCAAAGTGTGTCAATGCATTTTTTCCAATATTTGACACCCTTTTTTCTCTCTAGCTTTGCTTTTAGGTTTCATTGTCTTTCTCACCTCCTTTTAAAATATTCCCTGTCTTCCAAAATTATATTTAGTCCGTAATTTTAAAAAGCAACTAGATATCATTTGGCTAAATCGTTCTAATATTTAGCCTTCTAATGAAAGAGAATCCCTTGGTGGTCTAAGTTATTTTAGATGTGTCACAGACAAAAACAAAAACCAGAATTTTGGAAATTGTAAAGAATGTAAGAGGTTTTATAATTTAATTCCCATATTTTATAGATGGTGAAACCAAGGATCAAAGATTAGGTGACTGCTCCTTATTAGCAGAACTGACAGGGAAACCCAATGGTGACATCCACCACAGGGCCCTACCATAGTCAACATTTGCTAATTAAAAAATAATTAGCGTGCGTCTAAACCTATTGAATGTATACTGGTAGAATGCATCATTTGACGGTGTTGATCAAATCTCACTTCTCTCTCTCTTTTTTTTTTTCTGCTGAAATAATTTGCTCACTCATGGTGAGGTCCGTGAGAATTAAAACAGGCCAGGAAAAAGTTGTAAAACAATTGTCAAGCTAGGTAGGCAACCACTGAAGTGCTGAATAAAATTTAGGAATTGTGAGAATGTAGAATTTCTTTGCGCAAGTCACAAGTAACGATGAGACACTTCATGCCTCTTCTTGTCCCCTTTCAGTAAGGATTGTTCTTTTTATGCCTGGGAATGGAAGCGAGAGACGATTGGTCACTGAATCTCAGACCATGGTTAGTAGCATATTGTCTTCTCTCTTTTCAGTTTCTCATTAGTTTATCTTTTGCATTCATTTTCTTTCCACACAT